CCGTGGGGTGGGATGGGTGGGATTTTAATGGGTGGACTACTCGCATGGATCGCATATGTTCCGTTCTAGTCCTGCCCTACTGCGGTAATGCAGTGAAATATGGTGAGAAACTGCTATACCAAAACATTTCTCCGTAACTGCCAGAAACCAGTTTCAACTAGTAACATTTCTGATGAGAAGAAACCAGCGACTAGTAGTGCTGTTATTCCTTACATCCGGGGTGTTACGGAGCCCATCAAGAGAATTTTGAATAGCCACAACGTTAAAGTTTCTCAGAACCCTTTTCAGACTTTGGGGCATATTTTTGCCGAACCTAAGGACCCTGTTAGGAAAGAACAGCGAACTGCCGTTATTTATTCTATTCCGTAAATTGGCTGTGGACATGAATATATCCAACAGACCAGTTTGGTACACGTTTTAAAGAGCACCAGAAAGCGATCTTATTTTGCAAAAAAATTAACTTCGGCTTTGTCGAAGCACGCATGCCTAACTAAACGTACATTTGGGCGGGATAATTCTACAATTATCACCACTAATCGCCGCTACCACCAGCGTCTTTGTTTGGAAGCTCATATCGACTCCGCCCACGCTTCTTTGAATCGTGATGATGACGGCTTACTATCTGACGCCTATTTACACCTCGTCAGAATAAAACGGCAACTAATTAGTGAGCATATAAAAGGGCCTCTTCTTGCAACGATTAGATCGCCATTGATGAAGGCACTAGACTGAGGTGTGAAAACGTTGGGTCGATGAATTGTAATTTCCCCGATTACATCCATTAAATCTTTCAACAAGAATGTCGTCAAACACAATGTCTGATTAGTCACCTGGTTTCTGTGTGAACTTTAGTGTATCTTATATTTTTGTTTTCTTGTTTTGATTTCTCTGCTTTTTTTTTTTTTTTTGGTTTTTTATGTGACAAGTTGAGTACTTCAAGGTCCCATTCGGATTCAGAAAAGCCTGTTCAGAAAAGCGTTGAAAGGTTTAATTCTCTCCGATGTTCATGCTAAATATTTCTTTGACATAGCAATCCCCGAGCATATATTCCGTTTACTTATCAAGATAGAAGTGGTAGCTAAACATACCATCTAAGGGTGATGTGCAGGGAACAGCCACCAGCATGAGCATTAGAACAGCCTGAGGATTCATGACAATCTGCGTGGAAACAAAAAAAAAAAGATGAAAGACAAAGGAAATGAAATGCAATGAGTTAAATGATTATTTACTTTTTCGTTTTATTTCTTTATTTATCTGCTTTTTAACTGTATCTTTTTGGAAGGGGGATTACAGTAATCTGTCATCAACTGTCATGCTGTCAAACTAAGCCCTGCCACCGAAAGAAAAAGGTAAGCAAACGAAATTATTAGATCTTATGAGCTATTCAAAGGATTTGTATAAATACTTGAAATCCTTTCAGGGAGAAATTAACACTGAAAAAAATCCCATATTTCTATGTTGCTGTTTATTACAAATGTCCTGTAAAAGGTGGAAAGGTTGGTGGAAAGCGTTCAGATGTCTGCACTGAGAATCATATTTCCAGATTGCTCTTATGAGTCTGCGCTCGTGAGCTGTGGCTTGCCTACTCTGTTTGCGCGCCGTGATGAGGCTTGCAGGCGCTTTATATCTAACATCAAGGAGTCCGGCTTCCTTGCACACCTGCTGCCACAGCCCACGAATGTCGCTCATGGGTACGGGTTGAGGTCCGGTTTTTCCTGTTCTCAATTCCGCTTCTTAAGAACAGACC